CTCTGCAGGAACCGGGCAGCCAAAGCAGCCAGGAGCTGACAGGAACGCTCGCCTGTCTGCCAGCCATTCTATAAAGTGACAGGACGCGTTTGTTGTGGTTCAGACGTACTTTGCCATTTCCCGCTTCGATCCATTTCAGGAGTCAGTACAGCAGCACCGCGCCGCTGCAGGCTGCGGAGTCTGCATTGGCTCGCAGGTTCTGCTGGCAAGCGAGGTGGAAGCGCTGCTGGCGGTTGCTGCAGCCACCTCCTTAGCTGAGCCTTTAGCCGGGCGCGATGAAAGCGACGGCAGGACCGTACCTCAGAGCCTGCAGCACTGCGCCGTTCGCGCAGAGCTGAGCGGGAACGGAACGGAACCGGGCACTGCAAACCAGATTTCAGCATGCAGCGACACGGAGGTGGAAAAGGGGGGGGGGGGGGTGTGTGTGCGTGAAGCATTCAAGCTAATCTTTCTGGACGGGTTTTTTACCTCAATAATAATTAGTTATTTATGTTTTGTGGAACAAAAAACTTATAGCAAGTAATTAAAGAAAATAATTTATTTTAATGGGATTTAAGAAACCTAGTGCCCCTCTTGCAAGTGTCAACATTCCTCGGTCTCACTCTCTTGTGTAATTTTCAGTGACATTTCTCACTGTTATCACATGTCCTTTCTGTGTACCAATGTTACAGTTCATTCTTTCTGAAAGGTACAAATCGGGAGAGGTGCTTTACCAGAAGAGAACAAAAAAAAACCCACCAGGCCTGGCTTAGTAACTGATTTTGGAACATCTTGAAGCTCCAGTGCTCCTCCATACCATCCACTTTGAAAACAGCCTCTAGGATGTAGCATGAAGTTATTCTCAACATCTTGCCTTTTAGCTGTCACTCAAAAAACCCACACGTGCTTCCTTGGGGGAATACACCATCAGAGTTTTATTTAACTGCAATTTAACTACTAGGGAAAATGGTATTTTTTAGGTACGCTTAGGGACTGAAAAGCTATGGAGAGCTCCCTGAACAAGTGTCTGGTGTGGGAAAGAGGGAGCTGTCCCAAGGTAAGAAGGAAGCACACGTGCGGGAACCACAGTAGCAAGGTTTTCTCCACCTGTTGTCTTCCTCTAAAGATTTTTGTTCTCTGTTCATTATCGGTAAATTATGGAATCTTCCAGAATAATCGTATGAAAGTTCCTCTCCGGCAGAAATATCAGTGGCTGCAAAAAGTGCCAGTTTAGGCACCATTGAGTCAACTCGAACTGGCACCATAAATAAATTTGGTTCACAGGAGTGATTCAGGAATCTGCCTACGTTACCAGTGTACGTCGGGTCCACAAAGGTCTCCATTACCTGGCCGCTGTGGAGGTGCTCCCTCACCGCTATAACGTAGTTGGAATCCTTTGGTGTCTGGGCCTCAATCCTTCTACGTGCCTCATCAAAGCCTAAAACTTCACCAGCGTATTCGCAAACAAACCTTCCTTTCGCTATGAACTCCAGAGTGCGGACACCCCACCCTTTCTTCTCAGTCTTGAATACCTCGAGCCTGAACTGCAAACCCCTCTGCACAACCCTGTTCTGGCAGGATTCACCACACTGGCACATGGCATTGCACTCAAAAACAGGCCTGGCGTACTCCTCCTCTTCCCCTGTAGGCCTGAGGCACAAGCTGTTGTAATTTGCGCCGCGGCAAAGACAGGAGCACGCGTGAACCACACAGGAGCTGGCGAGACAAGAGCATCCCGGAAAGGTGATTTCGGTGGGGTCAGTGTCTCCGTCTGCTCCGGCCACGCTGTCTGGGCTGTACTGCGGAGAGAACAAGAGTCAAATCCTTGCCACGTTCAGTGCTTCTCTCTACAGAGGCCGTTAGATTTTTAGGAAGTCTGTGTCTGGCAACGACTGATCTCTGAGCTGAGCTGAAATAACGAACACTTCATTTTCCTGTAAACGTCTAACTACAGGTCTAACTTTGCTGAAACGGTTTAAAGAATGCAGCTCAGATATTCCACATAGACTGAAAAAGAATCAGTAGTCTGGTAGTGACTGAATTTCTCAAAATAGTCTACTAGCCAGAAAAAAATAATTTCTTAGCAGGAAAAACATGTCAGCTAATTGGATCTAGTTTACTAGATACATTTTTTATTTATAGAAATACCAAAGTATCTTTAAAGTAATTTTTCCCCTTTTCAAAATGCTCGGTAAGCTACTTACAAGGTTAGTCTGTAACGATTAAAGTCGCAGAATTTCAAATGCCCATTTTTGTTAAAAATGAAGATACTCCAAATTTACCTCTTCAAAATGTCGCATTCAAACTTGCTTCTGCTAATTCTGTTAGGAGGTGATGATGGTTTTGCACTAGCACACCTCTCTGCTTGCAAAAAAGCTGAGCTACCTACTCTATTGTCAGGGTAGAACAGGAGATGGTATTTGCTTCACCCTAAATTCTCTCTGCTGGAGTAGATGTGGTTCAGTTCAAGCAACCCAAGCAGAAAATCAGGTTCTCAAAATCACACTAATGCCCCCCACCGGTGAATGATTATAGAACCACGGACTGTTGGAAAATAAAAGCTGACAGAAACTTTGCTGAATTTGAAAATCACAATATGAAAACAGCTACATGTGTATTTTTACTTTCTTCTCAGCATTCAGCTTGCAAAACTTTATTTAGAAACCTGGAGTATGTGCTGTTACTAAATACTGCATTTCACAGTAGCTTGTGTCTGGTAGCTTCTGTGTGTTGCAAAACATGCCAGTTCGGTCGGAAGTTTTTTTTCATAAACATCAGCTCAGTCATTTGGCTTTCCTCAAAACCAAGTTTAACACTCCCTTATGTGTTCCCATCTTCTCCCATTCACTGACTACAAGCTTTCCTATTTCTATTGAGTATCAGCACACCGTGCAATTTAGGAAGATCAGGGTCTATCTGGATTAGGTCTTTATGTTTTTCCCCAGGCTTACTAGAAGTTTTTCATTCTGTTTTCTGAAGACTCTCTAACGTCCCTGAAGGAAGCTCCCAGGCAATCACGTGTGCTTCCAGGAAACGCGCAAGGAATTTACAACTAATACAGAAAACGGCAGAAACTGAGCAGTGCCTGAGAAAGCACGAAAAAAGTCAAAGAGTTTAAAGCACTCTCCTATATTTCCAGACCATACCGTTTCTGGCGAACCGCCTCAGAGGGCTGTGCGGTGGGAAGCAGCTGCCCAGCCGGGCAGGTTGGGTTTTTTTTCAGCCTGTGGCCGACGCTAACGCCCTGCAGTGCAAGAGCTTGATTCCCCCCAACAGGTGACGGCTGAAACGCGCGATTAAAAAACCCACGAAAAACCACATACGGAGAAAAAACGGTAGCGACACGTAACCGAAGCGCACAGCGAAGAAAGAGCCCATAGCGACCCCAGCACCGAGGTGCAACCAGCCCCACGGCCCTCCTGCTGAGCGCCACCCCG